CGTGACTGCTTGTTCTGAGTCGTCGGTGATATGTGATCGCATGTGCGCGTGCAGGCAATGGGCGGATGACCCGCTTCGACCAGACGACGTGTCGCCGGTGAAGCAGCTGGTGGCGGGTGGTCTGGGCGGCATCGCGGCGTGGGGCATCTCGTACCCGATCGACGTGATCAAGTCCCGGCTGCAGACCAACCCGGAGTACAAGGGCATGTGGGACTGCGCGGTGAAGAGCTACCGAGCCGATGGCCACCGGGTCTTCTTCACCGGCCTGGGCACCACCGTCGTGCGCTCCTTCCCGGTGAACGCCGTCATCTTCCTCGTCTACGAAGTCCTCATCAAGACCATCCCTGCTTGATTAACTTTTTTTTTTGAATACGAAAAGAATTCCACAAACATGCATGTACCGCAGCGTTGGCTGGCCTGCACCATCATCATCATCATCATCAGGCCTGATGATGGTGTGGCCATGTCTGGAAAGGTGATGATGGTGAGCCGGAGGAGATGCGCCGTCCGGAGGAAAAACTCCGGCGGAAGGAAAGCAGAATAAACCACAAGCGGCGACCGAACGGCGGACCTACAAGACGCGCGGAAGAGGAAGATGAAAACTTGTCTTTGTTAAACCTTAGACTGCAACATCAGTATATATTACTGCTAATGGGCCATGAGGATACGCCATTCGTCTCCAGACGTGTTCGGTGTCGTTCTCCGGGCCTTGCCTGCTGTGTGAGGTGTTGCGGTCTTCAGGCCAATGCGCCCGCAGCTTGTCGAGTCCGCGCGTTCGATGCTGGTCTGTCTGAATGTTGGCACAGATAGCTGAGCCCATTCTTCTTCTTCTTCAGTTCCAATTTAATTGACAAACAAGCCACCACAACAATTGTGAGTTGTTGATGGTTGTGGCCAACACGTCAAGCACCGTCGCCGTTACTTGGCTTGGGTGGGCGTGCTGCTCGAGAAGGACGGCTGTTGCCAACGTCGTAGGCTCGATGCTTGCGCGCATGCATACTTCGAGGGCCTTCGTTCCACACACCGCCGAAAGAGGGCAGCCATTCGTTGTCTGCTGCACGCGCAGACGGTGGGAGAGTCAGTCGGCGTTACAACGACGCACTGGAAGATCAGAAGGATGTGTGTTCGTTCCACATACCGTGCTCGCCGCGGGCCTCGCGCTGCCTCTTCAACTCGACGTACCAGCCACCGACGCGGTTGGGATTCTTGGCCTTCTTCTCGGCCTCTTTCTTGGCCTTCAACTCGTCGATCATCCGCCGCAGCTCCTCCTTGGGCGACATGAGTGGTTGAGGAGTCGAGGTCGTCGATGTCGAGGCGTCATCGAGGAGCCAAGGTGGCTTGGCCCCCGTGTGGACGTTGCCCTCGCCTTTTCGCAATTTGGGGATGGCGATCGCCGTCAAGTCTGGCCGTGATGCGCCGCAGCGCGGTCAGACTCATTGCAGTGCAGTGCCGTGCCGTGTTATGATCGTCGTGTCAAGGAGAAGGGAGAGAACGTACTCTCGCCATAGGCTATTGCCGTTTGGCGGCGGGTGCTTGTCAGGCCGCCGTTGCTGGTGTGTGGCGGAGGAGTGGGAGTACGGCATGATGAAGGAAACACTACTGGGAAGGGAAGCGGAGACGGAGATGAAGAAACAGATGGAAAGAAGGGAACGGGCGGAGAAACAGAAACAGAAACAGAAACAGAAGCAGGAGAAGGAGAAGGAGAAGGAGAAGGAGGAGAGGAAGAAGAGAGGTGTCTGGAAAGTAAGGATTGGATATGCTCTTCTGTGAGGGTGAGGAGGAACTGGTCCTTCACCCTGGCCGGCGCAGCGGTGGCCTTCCAGAAGGCGTGCACTGTTTCGTGGTGCTCCCGCGTTGAGAGGTGGCGCAACACGGCCTCACTGGCGCACCATGAGATACAAGGTTGGCACAATACATGTTAACATCTACGCGAGAGGAGGAAGGGTACCAGTGGAATTGATTGGCAGAATTGTCGATTTCTTCCTCACAAAACCAGCACCAGTAGCTACGTTCAGCCTCTTTGGATGTCGGGCTAAGCGAGGGCGAATCGAGGTATTGCCGGACGCGGAGGGCAATCAGCTTGGCTGCCGCCTTGTCGAGAATAGTTGTAGTTTCCTTTTTGTGGGTGGCAGTTTGAAGACATGCTTTGGCCCATCCCTATGATTGATTCTGCAAGACGGGCATCGATGGAAGCTGTACATCTCGCATCCAGAGAAGGAAGAAGGAAAAGAAGCAAACAAAAGAGCGGCGGAGGGAAGAAAACGGAGAAAAAGAAGGAGGCGCGAAAAACCGCGCCGAGTACGATGCACGGGCCTTGTGGAGGATTCCAGAAATAACAAATCCCCTGTGGTGTAGTTGGCTAGCATTTCCGCCTGTCACGCGGACGACCCGGGTTCAAATCCCGGCGGGGGAGATCTTCCTTTTTGTTTTTGCTCCTTCCTCCAGCTGGGGCTTTTTGTGAGGGCAGCTTCCCCCAACGGCCAACCTAAGGTTAACAAATGCTCACCTTCTGGGTCTACTTGGTGCTGGTATTGTTGTGCCACATGTGTGCTGACATGGCACAGGTAAGGCAAGAACAGCATGGGCATGAGTAAAATCCACATATGGATGGTGGGAACACCTCTGGCAATTTCATCCACTGCACCAGCAAACATGGATGCTAAAAAGACTTTTATCCTAAACTATGAACTTGCACTCATTTTGAAAAGAGACATGATTTTGTTTGTGAGTTTAAATGGTCTGAGCAACAAAAAATGGTGATAATTTAAAAATAATATCTCTCATTCATTTGGTGTGGTGTAATGGGAGAAGATTGGGATAATGTGAGGCTTCAAGACACTGGGTTAGCAAGTTGTTCCTAGAGGTTATCTTCTTATGGTGGTGATGCACTCCAAGGAGCACATTGGAAAGAAGATGGACCACATTTGTAATGTGCTCAATAACTGAGGTGTGTAAGGGAATAGATGGCTTCAGACATCTGGTCAAGGTCAGAGTGTTGGACTTGTGTCCCTGCTCCTGCTACTGCTCCTGTGGTGCTTGTTTCAAGATCTGCTGCTGTGCTTGTGCCTGTTGTGGTGGGTGCTGTGTCTGTGGATGTCACTATCCTCTGGACTGATTTCTATGGTATGATGGTTCCAAGTGCAGGGTGGAGGAGGGGTGGGAAAGCTGTTGATTTGGTGAGTAGTCAGTGATCTGTTTCATTGTGTACACATACACAACAAAAAACGGGAAGGGAGTGGAGTACCTGCCCAGGTAGACATGAACTGGAGTAGTTGAGGACAAAGTGCAAGAGCCTGCCAACACAGCAATGCCTTGTCAGAATGTGCACTGTGAAGTGGAGAGAGGGAGGGACTAGGAACTTGTGGTCATTTGAAATGAGAGGTCCAGTCATTTTGAAAAGTGATTTTGTTTGTGAGTTTAACCACATAAAAATGGTTTTGACAACACAAAAATGGTTTTAATTTAAACACTGCAAAGACAAAATTGGGAGCATCTTGAGAAATGGCAGATTAAAATACCATCATAATGAGAGATATGATGCTGTAACTGGGCCATCAGTCAAGGTCTGGAATGACCAATTTCTATCATGTACATGTTTTGCTACACTTACTTTATCGCGTACGCGTACGCGATGACTACGCACATTTTTTTCGGTACTTTCCTGAACGGTTGGCACACAGAACCATAAAAGGAAAAATCAGGTGCTGGGATTTAACTGGACAAAAAGTCAATTTTTATTCTTTACACAAGCAATTCCGAGGGGCTGTTTGTCACATCTCAGTGTGGAGAGTGCCCTTCATCTCTTCCTTCTTGGCCTCCTGAGGAGGTGGCTGCTCACTATGAGGGTGGCCTGGAGCTGCTCTTTGTCATTCACTTGATATTAAATTGTTGCAGCATTCATCTTCACATGATCTGTGGGGCAAGGAGGAGATAACTTAGCAAACATTCTATCATGTATGTGTACACAATAGAATGTCCTGCAGTTTCAAAGCATGGGCTTTGAAAATAGCATGTATGCAATGGGGCAGTTACCTCCTTCAGGAGCTTCAACAGTTCCTTGTTGTTGGCCATGGCTGATGGCAGGGTGACTTGCACCTATGCATACACAACAACAAAAACTGTAAAACCAGACACATACTTTATCACATACACATACACAATGACTACATGTTTGACCTACCAATACTTAGTTTATCATGTACACATACATGATCTGGAAAATCAGAACTTTTGCTTGTTTTGTGTAAGTGCTCCTCTGAACACCCTCACACAGCACCTTGCTTTTGCTTGCATACCCTCCATCAATTCCATAATCAGTGGCCAACATGCTGCCCTCACATCCAGTTCATGTTCAACCTCACACCATATTCAGTCAGTTACACATATGCACTGAACTTCATTCTTCACATTTGTGCGTGCTGAATTGGAGCACTATTCCTGAAGTTAAAATTCCACTCCATTCCACACTGATAAAATCACTTTTAACTCCACAAATTCCAAGTTTTTATCAAATCATTTTCATCTCAAATCCCTCAATATGACTTATAAGCAGCGGTCTAGCATGTCAAAATCACACATGCAGATCCATATCTTCAAAACTGCCCTATAAATCAAAAATGTCAAATCTCACACAATTTTAGCACAACAAAAATTCCACAGTCATTTGTGACCTCTCATTTCAAATGACCACAAGTTTAGGGTGCATTACCTTCCCCAATTGATGATTGAACCAAACCAGGTCTTGTGGCAAGCAAAGGAGTTGACAATCATGCCATCCTGGGAATGGGAAGGTTGTGATGAGCAGGTGCATGGAGATGTAACATAGGACTATGTCAAACTGCTTTGGAGTTGAGCAAGTGACCTCCAGCCATTATAGTCAGATTTCTCATCAACTCAGTTTAGTTACAGATTGAGTGCTGCAACCATGGGTGGGATTTCCAGCTCTGGGCAATCAAGTGACCTCCAGCCACCTTCCTACTCCAAAATCAGTGTGGAAGACATGATCCACAAACTCTATCAACATTGTTAGCAACAATATACATAATCACAAGGAGGCTGATCCCTCAACTTTCCAAATGAAGGTGTTACTTGTGATTAAAGTTAAGGCACAGAACTGAAGTGTGTGCCTGTGCCATGTCAGCACACATGTGGCACAACAATACCAGCACCAAGTAGACCCAGAAGGTGAGCATTTGTTAACCTTAGGTTGGCCGTTGGGGGAAGCTGCCCTCACAAAAAGCCCCAGCTGGAGGAAGGAGCAAAAACAAAAAGGAAGATCTCCCCCGCCGGGATTTGAACCCGGGTCGTCCGCGTGACAGGCGGAAATGCTAGCCAACTACACCACAGGGGATTTGTTATTTCTGGAATCCTCCACAAGGCCCGTGCATCGTACTCCGCACCTCTTTTTTAACCCTTTCTTTTTCTCCGTTTTCTTCCCTCCGCCGGCTCTTTCGTTTGCTTCTTTTCCTTCTTCCTGCGATGCGACGAGCAGCCAGGCCGGTGGTGTTGGCCTGCCGTTTGTCGTGGGCACCTCCGCGTTCCTTTTCTACAACACCCAATTTTGTGGTGCTCGATGATGGCAGCGGGGCGGTGGTGGAGTATCATCGCCTGTTTCTCTCCCACGAGCAGAGTCAGCATTTGCTGGCCGCCCTTATGCCCAAAAGCGCTGATGAGACGTCTTCCGAGGGGGTGCGATGGTCGCGGGACAGCCTCAAGCCGTATTCTCTTCGCGCAAGGTCCGGAGCACTGGCCAGGAGCGAGGAGCGAGCACGACTCAGTCAACACAACCCACATGCCGAAGGGGACCAGCCCACCACACAACTAAACCTGCACCCAGTGCACGAAGCAGATGAGCCATCTGTACCACTCACAACGCCGCGAAGAGTGTGCACGTTCGGAGACACTGGTGCAGTACACCTTACCACGCTGGGCTGCACACAACTATATATTAATGTTATGTTGCGGTGCTCAGGAGTGCGGTACAGCTACACCAACATCACACGAGAGGGCAAGGGCTGGCCGCCATTCCTCGCCGATCTGAAGCTCAAGGTCGAAGGCGTGGCGCAGCAGAAGTTTAACTTTGTATTCTGCAACCTCTACAGCAACGAAAACGAGTACATCGGCTGGTAGGTACCTTCCAAGATCATCGGGCTCCCGCATGCCTAATGGTGGTGGCGGCGGTGTGGCAATGCAGGCACCAGGATAAAGAGGAGGCCATCGTGAAGCACTCGGCCATTGCCACGGTATCGCTCGGGGCCACTCGCCGCTTCTGCCTGCGGCACGACAAGACAAAGCGCTTAGTGCCGGTTGGTATCTCCATCAATGGTTGTGCTCGCGATTGGCCGCCGTGCGGTGTGCGTGTGCATGATGCTCTTTCCGTTTGCAGGTTCTTTTGGAAGAGGGCAGCCTGCTCCTGATGAAGGGCAACACACAGGAGCGATACCGCCACTCAGTGCCGCGATCCCCCGTACCATGCGGACCAAGAATTAGCCTCACCTTTCGTTTGCTCCAAGCAACAACGTGACCACCCGCCAGGCCGGCACTTGGCCTAAAAGGGTTGGTGAGGTGTACCTCTGGGCTGGTGCTACTTTACAGGGACCAGCTCAGCTCGCGATCGTGACCCTTAGCCTCGACCTGCAATGCAACAAAGGTCGCGGCGTGTCCCTTGGCACCATCAACCGAGGTCCCGGCCAACAACGTTTTGAGTTGAAAACCGTCAACGCAACAAGCCGGCCACTTCCACTTCCGTGCTTGCAAGTGTCTTGGTTGCGTGCCGTTGCCCACTCTAGAGTGGTTGCCTAATCTCGAGCTTCGAAGTTGCGCCGAGTTGGCATTCAAAGTCAAGAGGTAGTTCCCAAATCATCAGGAAAGGCACATCGAATTAGAAGCTAAAATGACCGAGCGCCCACAGACTCTACTCACGGCCATGTCGACCGGCGAACGAGGGAGATCGAGCGGCAGCCTCAAATCGTCGTCAAGCGAGGCCGCCGTGGCTGCCGCGTCTTCAGGATCATCTGGAATCAAGAAGGGATTGAAGGGGATTGGCAAAAAATTGAAGAAGAAAGGGGGCGATAAAACGCCCTCCTTCACAATCAGCGGACCCACCAATTTCGAACAACGGACGCACATCAATAGCGAGCTCGAATGGTCTACAGAGAGTCCCGAAGACGCCTTCGCCCTGCACGAACAACTTGGCGAAGGGTACCTCCACCTAATAATTTATTAATAATTTAGCATTTAATATATTATTACTAAATTATTTACGCCGCATGCCTTTTTAATTTATTTTTGTTTGTGTGGTGACAACAGAGCGTACGGCACAGTGCACAAGGCCACGCACAAGGAAAGCGGGTTCGTGGTGGCGGTGAAGATCATCCCGCAGGTGCAGAATGTGGCCGCGCAGGAGGATATGAAGAAGGAGATCAACATTCTCAAGAAGTGCTCCCACGATTGCATCGTGCAGTACTTCGGCTGCTGCTTTGCAGACGATTGTCTCTGGGTGCGCTGCAGCTTTCACACTTGCTCTGCGCTCTGTCTCCTTTTGCCTTTTGGTCTTGTACCGGCTATTCACACACCCAACCACATCCGAACGCAGATCTTGATGGACTACTGTGGGGCGGGATCGGTGCAAGACCTGCTCAAGGCCCGCAAACCTCGCACCTTGGAAGAAAACGAGGTAAGCGCCAGTGTGCCCCTTCAAGAGTCTTCTGGCTTTTGGTGAACTAACAGTGATCTCTTCATCTTCACACACACACACACACACACACAAGATTGCTATCGTCATGCTCAACGTCGTCCGAGGGCTGGCGTATCTTCACGACCAGCATGTTATCCATAGAGACATCAAGGTAAGCTCTACACCATTATTACAGGCTGCACAAGCGTCCCATAGCATGTATGTCTAATACCGCGGCCCTGGTTTTGGTGTGTGGTCTCTGATAGTCTGCCAATATTCTCATCCACGAGCAAGGCATGGCCAAAATTGGTACGATGTCGCTGAGTGGAGCGAACTTGGCACTCTGCGATCAGACCGGCTGATCATTTTTCTTACGCCACCTCGTCTGTGTGCACCCAACACAGCCGATTTTGGCGTGTCTGCACAGATCGGAGGAGCGCTATCCAAGGCGTCGACGGTGATCGGCACTCCGCTGTTCATGGCGCCCGAGGTCCTCTCAGGCGAGATATACGACTCTCGGGTATGCCCATGCGCCTTGAGGGCACGAAGTGTGAACTCCCAACCCACTCAACAGTTCTCTCTCGTTCAAACGTCCAGGCCGACATATGGTCGCTTGGGATCACAGCCATCGAGTTCGCCGAGGGCACTCCTCCCTACTACGAGGAGCACTTTATGCGGGTACCGTTCGCAGCTAAACACTCTCCTGCATGCGGGCCAACGCGTCTCTAACGTAATCTTTCTTCGGAATATAAAAGGCAATGTATCTTATCGCGTCCGAGGAACCTGCGACATTGAAGGACAAGGCCAAGTGGTCCGATGAATTCAAGAGCTTCGTCGCGACGTGCCTCAAGAAGGAGCCGGCCGACCGACCCGCAGCAAAGGATCTGCTGAAGGTATGCCCCGTTGAAGATCGTCTGGCCCGTTGTGCACGCGAACTCTTCACTGACAACGGAAACCTCTTGTAGCATCCGTTCATATTGAAGGCGCTGACCCTCAACGCCAAGGAGATCATGAGCAACCTCATCAGCGGCTACAAGAGCGACGCCGACGAGGATGATTCCAAGACCTCCTCCCTCGAGTCCTCGCTGGAGCGACCCCAGGAACCGCTCGTACGCCCAGACACCGACTCCATCTCCATGCAGACCTTCTGCTCCGAGTCCTACGGTTCGTTCGCAAGCGACGACGAAGAGGAGGAGAGGGAGGAGCCAGTCCGCAAGTCGGCGATGATGGAGGTGCGCGCTCATCTTACCCTAGGGACACCTTCACTTAGGTCTCACGCCATAGTCGTTATTCCTCCTGGGCAGGTGGACAAGAGTGCGCCGCCGCGCTCGCTGGAGCACGTCAAGGCGGGCCACGTGCTCAAGGGCTCCATCATCGAGCGCAAGGGAGCTGGGGGTATGACCATGGAGAAGCCGGTCTTTTCCGTGCAGCCCCTCATCGACGACAAGAAGAAGCCAAAACACAACATCGAAAAACAGAAGAAGAGCAACATCAAGAAGAGCAACCTCAAGCCTGTGTACGTGTCCCGTCAAACATGGCTCTTGCTGTGACCGACAGTCGCCAAGTGCCCGCTCTGACCAATGCCTCTCTCTAAACAGGCTGTCGCCGAGAGAGCCCGAGCCCGAGGTCTCCCAACTCAAGCGACAGCTTCAGGAGGAGCGCAAGAAGAACAAGGTATGCATCACTTTTCTCACCGAGAAGAGGGGCATTGATCACTCATCGTAAGCGCACACCAAACGGAACATTGCAATGCAGAAAGCGGAGAAGACGATCAAGGAGTTGAGGGGCCAGCTGGCCACCGAGCAGAAGGTGGACAAGACCCTGCTCAAGGGTCTGCTGGGCGAGATCGCGACGTGGAAGCAGAGGACCGAAGAGCTCGAGGACAAGCTGCAGGCCGTCCTCAAGCACCTCGAACATGCCTGATGAGTACCACCGCACCACATTGTTTGAAGTATTATTTTCGCCCGGGCGCAGAGCAGGGCTCTTAGGTTTTGTCTATACTGTGCATAAAGAAACGCTCCGCCATTTCCCAGGTGTGTGCGCGTGTGCGTGTGCGGTGTTTCTTAGTGTGGCGTGCGTGGCATTCTTTATGGAAGCCAAATCAGAAAAAACTGCGAAAATACAGCCAGAAAAAGATAAAAAGAGCCGAAAAAGATTTGATTGCATTTACACAGCTTTGAAGCAGAGATGGAGGCGCAGAGGCAAAGCCCCGCGTCAGGTCTTCTGTCCAAGTTGGGGGACTTGCGGGTGGCCAACGGCAGCAAGGGAAATACAGGATCGGCACCGCCCTATGACGAAATCGTGGCCAATCTCGACAACATCCTGCCCCATTGGGATCGAATCAAGACGGGGACTCTGCCAAATGGTCTGCGCTACTACATTCAACCCAACACAGTGCGTTTCATCCAGTCCCACCATAAACCTTTCATTATCAATCAGTTTTTAGGTCATTAATCCGGTTTTTCGCTAGACTCCGCCCAACACGTTCGATGCCTACCTGCGAGTGCACGTGGGCTCACTGGCCGAGGAAGAGGACCAGCAGGGCATCGCGCACTACGTCGAGCACTTGGTCTTCATGGGTACGTAGTAGTACCGCTCACTCGCAGAGGACTGCGCGACTCACCGTTGGGCCTTACGCAGGCACCGATGCCTACCCGGATGCGGAGACCATGCGCAAGCTGTTTGCCACTTGGGGGTGCGTCTGCCCAGCCCACTGACTCGCAAGCTCGTCAATTGGTGCCTGTGTTTGACCGCGATCGTATTGTCGCGTGCAGCATGTCGTTCGGTGGTGACACGAACGCCTACACCGACTTCCGGAGCACGGTCTACACCTTCCACGCGCCAACGCACACGCAGAGCCAAGGCGCCGAGAAGAAGGAGGGCGGAGACGTGACGGAGGACAACGTCTACAAGGTCCTCTTCGCCCTGCACCAGCTGGCCTTCAAGGCCCTCTTCCCCAAGGAGGCCGTCGACAGCGAGCGCGGTCCCATTTTGTCCGAGGTTTGTCTCATCTCTTCCAAAATGCTCCATCATACGCCGGCGTCTGCTCAATCTAACACATAACACACACACACACACACACGAACACAAACACACCCAGGCTCAAATATCGAACTCGATCGGCTACCGTGTGGAGTACCAGGAATACCAGCAGATCCACGCCGACAATCTGCTCTCCAAGTACGCAACCTATAATTGTTTCCTGTCTTCGCTGGGGGTGACGTTGCAAATGGTCTGACCTTTACCGTTGGCTGGCAGGCGCTTCCCCATTGGTTTGGTGGAGCAGATCAAGAAATGGGGACCGGACGACCTCCGTCGGTTCTACCGAAAGTGGTACCGGCCGGACCTGATGACGCTCTACATCGTGGGTATGTGCACGCACCGTGTTTAAACACCGCACGACGACGATTGGTCGAGTCCTCACATCTGTTTCTTCGGCCGCGTTTTGCGTTGACAGGCGACGTTGATCACGCCCAGGTGCAGAACCACATCGAAAGCCTGTTTGGCAAGGAGGTCAGCGAGGGAGAGACGCCGAAAGTGCCTGAGGTAATGGGACATCCACATGGTCACTCGTGATGAGCATTTGATTGGGTTTAGCTAATTTATTCTGCAATTCCTCTGTGCCACGTGCCATAGCCCACTCCTTCCTTCGAGCCGCCGAGGGAGAGGATGAGCATTTTCCAGCACGAGCTGCTCCATCAGTTTTCGCTCACCATCAACCACCTCTTCCCGCTCACCAACCAACGCACCGTGCGAGACATGCGGACAGAGATCATTTGCTACGTCTTGAGTACGCGCATGCCACATACCCCCGTGTATAGATGTGAACTCCATTGCTCATTGTCATGCGTGTCGTGCCGTGCCGCAATTAGTGAGCACGCTCGAGGCTCGCGTCTACGCTCTCGAGCAGACCTACGAGTCGCCCGTGTTTACTTCGATAGAGTGGAGCTTCTTCAATTCGCACAGCGACAACTGTTCGGTGTCGAGCCTCTGCATGTTTGCTCGGCCCACCACCTGGAAGGAGGCCATCAAGGTACCCTTCACCCCACGTCCCGCCCGGAATTCCTTCACTTATGGACAGGGCATCGTTTTACCCTCACCTTCCCGCTTCTTCCTCTCCTTCTTCTTGTGGCACAGTGCGGAGTGCAGGAGATGGTGCGGATGGCCAAGTACGGCGTGACCTCCCACGAGCTCGAGCGCTACATGGCGGCGCTGATCAAGGAGGCCCACCAGGACGCCGAGGGGCAGGACACCCTCAAGTCCTCCGACCTCATCGAAGATCTCGTTGACGACACTCTTCTCGGTACGAGCCACCACCACTGAACTACCACGGTGTGCTCGGTCTTAAGGTGGTGCCACTTCGCTGGCTGGCTGTGTGCAGAGAGCGTGCTGGTCAGTCCCAAGGACGACTACGAGCTGGTGCGGCGACTGGCCCCGACCGTGACGCTGGTCGAGGTGAACCACCTGGCCAGGCAGACGTTCTGCCAGACGCTCCGCGTGGCGAACCTGCTCCGCGACGAGGACGTCATGGCCTGGGAGGAAGAGGAGCAGCAGAAGAACGGTCCGGCCGACGCAGAGGGGTTCGCCAGCTCGCTGGAGATCATTGAGAAGTCGCGCGGCATCTCCGTCTTTGTGACGTGTCCCACGCTCTACTCCCCCGACGAAGAGACCCCCGTCAAGGCCAATGGCGGCAAGGACGACGAAGAGGAAGGTGAAGATGATGAAGAGGAGGATGGCGATATGGACGAAGAGGAGGATGGAGAGGATGACGAGGAAGATGACGATGACGAAGATGATGAGGAGGAGGATGAGGAAGATAGTACGCCGGAGGAGTGCCAGGCCAAGCACCAGCACAAGTTCATCCACTCGCGAACCGCGCAGCTCGTGGAGAAGGAGGTCAAGGAGAACCAAAAGAGCGACAAGGAGGGAGGTCAGACCGAACGAAAGAAGATCCCCTTCCGCGTCACCAAGGAGGAGATCCGCCAGGTGATCGAGCAGTCCATGCAGGGTACATCATTTTTCTTCCCTTTTCTTGATTGTTTATTCTTTATTCTTTATTCTATTTTTTTCGTGATTATTGATTCTTATTCTTATTATTACTGACTTGGTATTTAATTTACAACTTCGCAGGAGTGGAGGCGCCGAAGGACATTGAGGTCCCGCAGGATCTGATCGCTGACGATGTGATCCAGAGGAAGCTCGACGAGCTCAAGCCGACGTGGGTGCCGGTCACGTACGACACCACGAAGCGAGACACCCTCGACGAGCTCCAGAAGCAGATCGACAGCGCCAAGGAGCAAAGCGACGAGGCGAATGGTGGGATGGAGACTGAGAACAAAAAGACCAAGGCGAAGAAGCCAACACAAGAAGAAAGCGAAGACGATGACGATGACGAGGAGGACGAAGATGGAGAGATGGACGAGGAAGATGAGGGTGACAGCGATGAAGACGACGACGACGATGATGAGGAAGACGATGATGAGGACGAGGGCCAACAGAACGTTGCAGCTGAGGCGGCCGACGAGGCGCGGAGGAAGAGGCGAAAGGCCGAGCCAGACACGACGCCGCGTCTGATCCACAAGCCGAGCGGGATCGTGCTGCTCGAGCTGAGCAACGGCATTCGAGTGAACTACCTCTACTCGGCCTACTTCCAAAAGCGCTGCGCCATCCGCATCACCAGCGTCGGCGGCCAGCTGTGCGAGCGGACGCGAGAAGACGCCGGGCTCACCCAGCTCGCCCTCGACACTATGCAGCAAAGGTACCCTCTCCGCCCTGACTCGTCACCATGAGCGTAGCGTAGCTGACTGCAGCCTGCTTCGTACAGTGGCGCTGGCCCGCATTCCTCGGAGGTCGTGGTCGCTTGGTGCGGCCGGTGGGGTGTCGAGGTACAGCCCATTGCTCACTTCTCTCGTTCTAGCATCGCCACTCAAGGCAAGTCTTCTCTGTGTCGTCGCGTTGCAGGCAAGCGCGGAAGCCACCCTCGAGACCACGTGCCTGCATGTCGGCACTTCGGTGTCGCAGAACGGCATCAGCAAAGCGCTGCAGCTCATCCACATGCTCCTCACCGAGCCGCGATGGGACGAACGGTATGATACTCCGCCCCCAGCCTCCGCTTCCGCGCCTCAACAAATGGGGGAGAGGGCAACGACTTACAACGCTTTCGCTTCCCCCCCCCCGTTCTTCGTTCTTTTTCCGACTACAGGGCGTGGAAGCGAATCCGCACGCACGCGGCGAGCTGTCGCGAGGGCGAGGAGAAGGAGATCGACAACATCGCCGCCGACAACCTCTCCTCCATCCTGTACCAGCCCACCGACTGGCGGTTCGCCCAACCGAGCGCCTCCGATCTGCGCAACGCGTCCGCCGAACGAGGTGCGTGCTTTACCTCCCCCGCCAGAGGGCATTCGCTTGCCACGTCAGCATACTGACCGTTGGTTGGTTGCTGTGGTGTGGTCCACATGGCAGCGCGATGGCTGGTCTCTCACCAGCTGCTCGACATGCAAAACGTGGAGGTGTCCCTGGCCGGCCACTTTGACAACCTCCGCGACGTCGAGGACCTCCTGCTCAAGTACCTCGGCACGATCCCGCGCCGCACCGCGTTCGCTCCGCTCTCCGCCGCCCCGCCACCGCTCAACCCCTTCTCGGCCCACCTCGCCCTGCCGGCCGCCGCCGGCGTGGCGCCGGGCGAGAGCGAGAACTTTGTGCTGGAGCTGGTCAAGAAGGAGTTCCCGAGCCGGATCAACTTCACCGACGAGGCGCGCGTCAAGTGGCAGCACCTCTCCGAAGACGAGGAGCGACGCGCGATCGTCTACCTGTGCTTCCCCGTGATGAACCGCTGGGGCTACACCAAGCTCACCGTGCCGCCCGCGGAAGAAGCGGCGGCCTGTGCTGAGACAGCGGCGATGGAGACCGAGGAGGCCTCGCCCGTCGCCGCCGTCCGACAGCGCGTGAAGCAGCATCCGCTGTGGAAGAGCCGCGTCGCCAATCTCATGGTTGAGGTACGCAGCTGCCGCGACTCATCATCGGACGTTCCATCGCGCTGAGCTTTTTTTCCTCTCTCGCACTCTGTGCAGATATTGAGCAACCGGCTGTTCTCGGTGGTGCGCGAACGCAAGGGTCTCCTCTATAACGTGCGCAACCTTCCAACTATTGCGCTGTGTGCGCTGTGTGTGCGCTGTGTGCGCGTGTCTGACGGCGAGATGGTGTCTTGGTGTTTGATAGGTGTCGGCCTCGCTGAGGATGCCCGACCTGTACGACTCTGGCACGCTTCACGTGACCCTCACGCCGTTCCCCGATTCGATCGCCCTCACCATCGAGGAAGCGCTGCGCGTCCTGTACGACTTCAAGCACGGCAATATCACCCAGCAGGAGCTCGACGAAGCCAAGGTCCCCTACCTGGGTACCGTACACCTCTCCAAAGAGAACAACGTCACTCATCACTCAACTTACGCTCATCGTCTTCTCATAATGAACCCCAACACAACACAACAGAATGGCTGATCACGGCGATGAAGGGGCCGACGTTCTGGATGAGCCTGATGGAGTACATGCAGCTGCCCGAGGGCATCTTCCCGCGAGACATGATGAACCTGAGCTGCGCCGAAGACATCTACGAAGCCTACGCCGCTGTGGAACTTCCGGGTACGTGCGCACGTCCCATCGACAACACGCACGCACGCACCGTCGCACACGCACACGCACCGTCGCACACGCAACGCGCACGCACTAACCTCGACTCGACAGACATCCGTGCGATCGTGAACGAGTTCTTCCAGGGGATGCGGGTCATGTGCGCCAGCATTGGTACCTCGGGCACGGAGCCCCCGGCGAGCATGGAGGAGCAGCGCCAGCGGGTGCAGAACGCGGTCAGCTCGTTCCCGGTGCCCCCCGTGACGCCACCAGCGCCAGTTCCTGCCGCTGACGCTACTGCCCCGTAGAAGCGCAGTTCACTGGCGGTGTACTCTTGACAACCCAACATGAGTTAATGTTGACCAGTACAGTGATTGGTTGTTGGTTAGGTGTCCCCCAATCGTAGGCGTGTTCAGGCAAAACTTGCCTTTCTCTGCTTTTGTGTAGAGATCAAAAAAGATGGAGGTGGAGGTGCCGGAAGAGGTGGAGCTGCGGTGGCTTGCGCTGCTGCACTGGACCGACCTGGCGAGGGCAGCCCTTGTCTGCTCCCGCTGGCACCGCATCGGTATTTCCGACTCCCCCCCCCTAAACACTCCTCAGGCTAATGACATTGTGGGGGGTGGGGGCAACCGGCAGCCAACGACGCGAGCCTGTGGGCGGGGGCCTTTGTGCGTGAGTTTGGCAACGAGGCTGCAAGCGCCGTGCGCTCCACTTCATCCGTTCGGAAGGTCCCCCCCGACGCACCCCCAGGGGTGTAGTGCTGTTGGCGCGTTTTAGTCAAACTTGAGTGGTGGTGCGGTTGCCGTATGCGGCCTCAACCCACGGCGGCGATGATGCAGGCGTTGGACAGGCTGTGGGGCGCCTGTGCGAGCACGTCCAGTGGGCCAGACTCGTGGTATTTCCAGGGCAAGACGCAGATCTACCGCCCATCGCGCACCGTACGCACGCACTCTCTTCACCCCCCACCCCCGCGTGTGCGTGTGTCGTGTGTTGCGGGGTTCACCTGCACGTCGACCACACACACACACCGGCACACCGGCACACGGCACACACGCAACGCATCAATAATGGTGCAAGGAGGAACACGCTAACACCGAACAATCAACAACAACGCCGCAGGAGGGCAAGGAGTGGCGACAGTACCCCCGCAACGTTCCCGCGTATAATCAGATCGTGGCGAACGACGAGCCGTGGGATGACGCCGAGGTGGAGCCCCACCAGGAAGACCTCGTGGAGGTTCGTGACGCCGATCGTGCGGCGCACATCGAAGCAGGGACGAGAGGAGAGGATGGTACTGCGAAGCCGCTGTGGAAGGCCACCTTCCTGCGGCACTACCTGCTGCGCCACAGGTGGTTGCACGGGTGCGACCCAGCGCAAGTCGGCGGAAAAGGGAACAAGTTGGCCGATGCGGCCACAACGACGGACACCAATGCGGTGGTGCGCGTCGTGGTGAGTGGTATGAAGTCGAGCGGCAAGAGCCATTTCCTGCGAGCTCTCGCCCCCGATCAGCAGGTACCTGGTGTGTTGTGTGACGTGCGCATGTGCGTGCGGGCGGGCATGCGTGCGTGCGTGCGGTCTGGCTGTGCGGTGTGGACAACAGCGTGCGATTCATAAGCGACATCTCTTGTCGCGTGGTGTAGGTCGAGGACGGAGGAGTCAATGTGGTGGTGGTCAAAGCGAGCGACGGTTGCACGGTGGCTCTGCTCGAGCTGCGGCGCCCCAATGGTACGCGTCCACCTCCAACCTGCCCGCTTCGCAGCTCTTTTGTCGTTGTTCACCCACCAGCCCTTCAATTCACTCAAGATTGGTGCAAGAAGCTGTACAACGGGGCTATGGTGGCTGGAATTATCTTTATGGTCGACTCCACCGAGTTCAGGCCGTTCCTTGGTGCGTTGCCCTGCTCGCTCAGTCGCTCGCGCACCTGAACCCGCAATCATAGCAACTATAAGGAAACGCATGCTCTCGCTCTTACACACAGTTCTCGCTTACACATACACACACACACACGCAATTCCAGATGGTCAGATTGGGAGTGATGACGAGTACAAGCGCATGGAGGACGTCTACAAACGCTTCCACGGCGTCGCTGGTCAGGCCCACAACTCGATCCTGGTTGGCGTTGTGTGCGCACACAAGATCGACCTTGCCACCGTACGTAGCACTGCTCGATGCACACGAGGCCCACGCACACGCGCTGACAACCCCCGCACAATCACAGAGCGAAGCCGAAAAGGAGGAACTGCAGGAGGTGGTCAGCCGCAAACTGCGCGTGGAAGGGCTCACGGAGTGCGGCTGGTACAGCTCGGCCCAACTCTCCACGCTCGGCACTTCGGCGGCGGATCTCGACAGCTGCCTCACTGCCGTCGAGCAGTTCGTCACCAAGCACAAGCGCATCAAGCTGTGGCGACAATATTAATAAAGTTGGAACAAGGTCGAGCAGCAGAGAAGACCAAAAGTCAACGGCCAGCATCTGCTAAAGATGGCAGAGAACATGGAAAGCGAAGCAGCGAAGAATCGACCAACTTGGATCCCCGACGGCTGGGTCTCGAGGCATGTCGATGTACTTACTCGTTGACGATCGCGACGCATTTTCTCATTCCCCCCCCCGATAAAATGCAGATGCACTTCCTGTCGAGCGAACTTTAGTGTGGCCAAACGGAAACACCACTGCAGAGCTTGTGGGTACACGCTGGTCCCCTTCACGTGCGCTTTAGGCTCTCAAGACTTCCTCATTGACTGGCAATTTGCAGAAACATCTTTTGCAAAGATTGCTCAACGCACACGCTGTTCCTCACCGAGCTGGGCTACACGACGAAGCCCGTGCGGGTGTGCGACAACTGCTTCCGTAAATACGATGCCAGCTACAACCAGCAGCAGACATAAGCTGCCTGGAGCGAAATCTCTCCTCTCTTGTATGATACCTCAATCCGCTAAATCAGTTATTATTGTCCACATCCTGGCCAGGATTTCTGTACAATGGCGGTGCCACTTGGCATCACCTCTCGTTCTTCTCCTTGGTGGGCAGGTAGGTGGTGGCGTTGGGATCGGGGCCGACATCTTTGCTACCCGTGTTGAGGAAAGCACCACGGATCTTGGCCTGTCCGGCGAGCTTGCCCTTGGTCGGATCAATGCGTCCGCTGTCGCTCCCGCTGCTGTTGGACAGCAGCAACCAGAAGGGGTACGAGAAGCTCACTGCCACAATGCCGCCCAGCACGATGCCCATCGCCCTGTTGCCCGAAGGCTTGGGAGCTCCTCTTGGCCTGCTGCTCATCTTGAGATGTTGTTTAATTCAAATATAATAAAATCAATTTTGTTTGTGATCTTCGTTGCTGATGGCAGGGAAGATTAACAGGAATTCTATGCACGAATGTGGATGATTGATCATCCTCTCACCCACACCCCTTAATCCTCCTCCTCGGACATGTCCTCCTCTTCCTCGAGCGCCTGCTTGGCGTACTTCTCGGCCTCCTCGAGCAGGTCCTTTGGCACAAACTTGTGCAGGTTGCCCGTCTCCTCGCACACCCAGCTGAGCTCCAGCTCGAAGGCCTTGTCCTTGGCATCGTCGTGCACCGAATAGATACTGAAGTTGAAGTGTTGGACGAGAGAAGCAGAGGGGTGTGAGTGTGCGACTGATAACACAGTGCGCTCAGCGAAAGGCGGCAAGTTGTACGTACATCTTGGCGGCCTCCTTGATGGCCTCGCGGGCAGTCATTTCGGAGAGCTTGAGCTTCTCGATCTCAGTCTTGGCCGCTCTGGCACCCTTGCCGATGGCCACGCCAAAGTATCCCTGCACACGTGCGACAATCATTCGATCAAATGATTGGTGATGATGATGAGTCGACATCGTCAGCAGACACTCAGCATACAGGTGGGTGATGCAAGGGGAGATATCAACGCACCCACGAGATGCCCGAGGGCTCGATCATGTAGAGCTGAGGTCCGTTCTTGTCGACGCAGCCGAGGATGACCGAGGTACCGAACGGCCTCACAGAGCCGTAGAGGGAGTAGAGCTGCACAAAGTTGGAGAGTCGCTCGTTGAGCACCTTGCCCGAGATGTCGGTGCCGTAGAACTCCCTGTAGCTTGTCGCCTCGGCGCGCCCTCTGCTGACCAGCTGCCTGCCGTCAGCCACCAGACCGGACATGGCCTGCAGGCAACGTGAGCGTGACGCCACGAAGCGGGTTAGCTCTTCTGCATGTCTGCACGTAGACTCGTGAGAGGAAGACAGGGCGTACCAGGCCGCAGTGTCGGTCGACAGTGTGGATGCGTCTGTTGGTGTTTGGGACGAGCATCTTGGAAACCAGCAGCTTCTCCACTGCCAGCACCACACCATCCTTCACGCGCAAGCCAAGGGCGGTGCTACAATGTTGTTGCATTCACGAATTACTCATCGCCCAGGTGCGAAGAAGCAAACGAGCAGCTCACAAATGCGCCTGAGCCTTTCAAAATGAATGTAGAGAGCCGTACCCACTGTTGTCGACGGCCTTGGCGGCATACTCCACTTGGAACACCCTTCCATCAGGAGAGAATGTAGTGGACGAAAGATCGTACTGCACGATGGAGGGGGGATGAGATGGAAGAGATCAAACACGCGAAAACAACACCCCAAGGCGGCATAACAAGGCCAATCGTGGAGAGGCAGCATACCCCAGTGCCGATGCTGCTCATTGTCTTGGAGATCTGTGTGTCCTGTGTCTATCTTCTTTTCTTCGTCTGCCAATCGCCCAACCCAACAAACCAGCCGTCAGCCACGCAACACGAAGGTGGAACCCGACGCCCCCGGTTATTTGCTGGATTCAATAGTACATAATTTCCTTCTTCATTTCTCCGTTTCTTTCACCGCCGGTGCGTTTGCGGGTTGGAGGGCGCAGTAGAGGAGCGCGTTGGCCATCAGCTGCGCTCCATCAGTTGTCGCGTCGTAGCCTGCCCAGCAGAAGCATAAGTACAGGAGAGTTATAGATGCCACACTGGCGTTTGGGTGAGTAGGCCGAGCCGGCTCAGGTTGCTTGGCGTACCGCAGTGCGCTGATATGACGTCCTTCGGCAGGGCCGAAGAGGTTGGCGTGAAGTTGAGGCCGACCACCCGCCCGTTGAGTCCATACTTCTCCACAACCAGAGGAGTGCGCTTGACATGAAGCATCTCCCCTTCCTCCTTCCGGAACTCCCACTCGGCGATCGTGGTCGTGTTGCCTGTTGCGTGCCCGGGCGAGTACGGCGTTTCCCCGGCCGGGTTACCGCGCAGGCAGCGCACATTGGCCAGCACGGGGTGGTCAGGCACCACGACCTCCATAACCGGCTGGTCTGTCCGCATGGACTGCGCGGGGCTGATTGGGTCGTAGTCACCCTCCCAGCGGCCAGTAATGGGACACCTTTGGTCGCGTGGCGCTGCGGGTGAGAATGAATGCACGCATGCGCAAGCGTGGCGAGGCACAACACGTACCCGCAGGCCACAAAACCGCCGATTACCACGCCGTGCCCATCGTCCACCTGTGCGTCAGGGCCGATATGGGTGAGAAGAATGATCGTGAATTGATATGCCGATTTGGCCAGGCGTACATATTGTGCCATCAGAGAGCCAAGCGCGCGGTTGTCTTTCATGAACGCATTATCGCTGGTAACCATGACCGCTGCATATTCTCGTAGCATGTCTGAAAACAACCACAACATCAGCATCAGCAGCAGCATACACGCAAAACTCTTAGCCTCGCATGGTTAGTGCTGGACGTTGAGTAACAGGATTGCGTACCGGGGGTGGGCTGGGTCTGCGCCCCATTCATCACCGCCACTTGGGGGAGACCATGCTCCTTCAGGTCGCGCTCCAAGGCGTCCATCGCCACCGGACCTCTTGCATGGTCCCCCGAAAAGATGACTAAGAACTTGCATCCCTGTGCGTGTGTGCGTCAACATCAGCACATCTCCAACGTGCACGGCATTGAAGAAGCTCTACCGCGAGCTGACGATAAAGGCGGCTCCACGGCTGATCGGGCGCTTTGAGCTTCTCCAGCCAGCCGATGCCCCGCTCTTGGGCGAAGTCCTGTGCGCTCAGGGACTTCCACAAGCTTTCGTCGCTCGCGCAGTGCCGCATCTGACTGCACACCTGGTTGGCACGACCACGAGTGGCAGGGTCGTGTTTGTACGTGCTGTAAAGAAGCAACCAGCGCGTGGCAGAAGGAGGAAGGATGTTCATGCCGTACCAGCTGCACATGCGAGAGGTTCCTTGCATCAAGAAACGACAAGATGTGGAAAAGGACCTCATCGGGCAGGGTGGCCAGAGAGCTTGTGTCTGCCTGCAAGGGGTAAATGGAGGGAGATCAGCAAAACCTCTGACGTGGCCTTCGAAAAGCCAATCATGGTTACCATCGTATTCTTCTCGCTCAAGATCTGAGTTGAGATCTCGGCCTGGTATGCGCGGCACGCACGAATACCGCGCGTGGTTGTTGGGAAGAAACCGTTATTTTCAACGGCAAGAAGGCCCAACGCAAACAACACATCGCTGGGGATGAGTGAGACGAGCAGCGGTGGGTCGAGGCGCAAGAGCCGTCTATCAGGGAAGCGATTGTCCTCTGCGCCAGAAGCGACCCGCAATTTTGATAGAGAGGAAGAATTTTTCGGCTTCCCCCCGGTTCGATTCATCGACGAGGTGATTAACACCGTCAACGAATACGCCTGCAATGCTGCCGATGCGCTGGAGGAGGCGCTACGAATAGCGTTGACCAAGAGGGAGGGGAAACCAGTGGCCAACGAAGCCTTGCAGAATGGGAGCGATCAGGTGTTGAAGATTTTACAAGAATCGATCGATAAGAACTTCGACCTCTGGGAGCTCTACGTGCTCAAGAACACCTTCGTCGTGCCTCCCGAGTTTGCGAGTTTCAAGAATCAGCAGGGAGCAGACGAGCTGGATCGGCCATCAAAAATCGAGGCCCTGCGCCGCGAGAACACACAACTCGACCAGGAGATTGAGCAGCTCAAGAAGCGAGTGCTTGCGGTACTGCTCCTTGCTTCGCTCTATGGTGCACGGCGTGGGTGCCTGACCGTCAGTATGTTGCCCGTCTCTGCTAGACCAAGTTTGTGAACGACGCACTCGAGAAGGAGAACGATGCGCTGGAGAAGGAGAACGAGCGATTAGACCAGCACGCGCAACTGCTCGGGCAGCTGTCTGCTCGTGTGGCCGACAGTGGCTGTACGCTCCTCTCTTCCCAGAGTTTGCAGCTCATCACGACCCAACGTCTATGTTCCTCTATGTTCTTCTGATGCAGTGGACGAGGTGGAGTCCGTGTTGAAGAGTCTCGTCAGCCGACGAGAGCGGCTGATGACGCTCATCAGGGAAGCCCAACAGTTGGACGTCGAGACGCCACCAGATCGGGTATGCGCGCACGGCCTTGTTCTCCCTCCTCTCTCATTCACGAGAGCGTTGGCTCACATCAGGGCCTCCTCTTCTCTTTCACCATCCAGGATGTTGGGGCGCGTCATCGAGAACACCGCAAGGCGACAAACGTGGAACCAGCAGAGTGAGAAGGCACAAGGAGAGGAGAGAACAACAACAACAATGTACATTGGTGGGTGTGGCGCTACACTGAATCGAATAAACAAAATACAAAGTAAAACAAGTTGAATAGAAATCAATTCAGCAAAAGGACGAGATGAGCGAGGAGGCGGCAGGTGGAACGACACAGCCTGCCACGATTGTTGTGCTGCCGGATGAGTTGTGGCTTCATCTGCTTGCCTTTCTCAAGGAACAAGATGTGGTCTCGCTCCACTTCGTAAACCGCCATTTGTATAGGCTGGCAGAGGATGACGCCGTACCTTGCCCTTCTTTGTCAAATCTTGATTATAAATGCGTTACAATCGTCGGGGGGGGGGCGTGTGGAGCAGGTGTGGCGCGCGCTGTTTGTGGCCAAGTACCCAGAGCAGCTGCACGACCGGGCGCTCGCCCGCCACGGCTGGAAGGAGCGGCTGCGTCTGGTCCACGCCTGCTGGCACCACGGCAAGTTCGCCGTGCGGCACAGCCTAGCCACCCACACCCGCTTCGGCGGCATCAGGTGCGTCTCCCACCACCGCCTCCTCCACTGCACACCGACCACCACTAAGTGCTCACGATTGACCCGCGTGTGTGCAGGTTCGCCAACTTTGCTGAAGACGATGAGAACCTCATCGTGGGCGGCAGCACCCAAGGGCACATCGTCATCTGGAACCTCGACAAAGAACCATCAAGCGAGGTGTGTAGTGTAGTGGCTCATCCGTGTGTGTGTGCGTGCGTGCGATCACATCGACTTAGTGTTGGTTGGTGCGCGCCGATTCTCGCAGCAGAGCAACAGGGACTCGACGCAGGATGATACGACGGACCCTTCGGTGGAACACATCGCGGCGCACTCGCAGTGGGTACGCTGCGTGATCAGGCGAGGCGACACTCTGTTCTCCTGCTCCAGGTAAGTCTCCGGGGTTGTCGTCGGCATTGTCTACGCAGCAGCATGACTGACTTACTGACTGGCCTGCCCACCACTGCAGCGACAATACGATAAAGATATGGTCGCTCTCGACCAAGCAGATGGTGCACAACCTCACTGCGCACACCAACCAGGCACGCCTTTTCCTCTCGTGCGCGGTTAGTATGTATACTGCGCTCACGTGTGTGTATGTGTGTGTGTCGTGTGTGTCGTGTGTGTGTGTATGTGTGTGTGGTGTGTGTGTGTGGTCGACGTGCAGGTGAACCTCGTCAAGCTGATGCCCGACCTCGCAGGCAGTGTTGCCGATTCCACCACTCTCTTGAGCGCAAGCGATGACAACACGATTGGCCAGTGGGACATTGAACGAGGAGTCTGCGTGCGTACCTTTGACGGTAGGGCCCTTGATAACACCCGCACATGCCGCACGCACTTCACCGCACACACCGCGCGTGCAGTCAAAAGTTGACCGTGCAGCCCTTTTCAGGTCATACGGGCTGGGTGCTGGCCCTGGACTGCGACGCGAACACGATCGTCTCTGCGGGCAGCGTTCAGCCCATCAACATCTGGGACGCACGGTCGGGATCCAGGCGCTCCATTCCATGCGGCAGGTACATGCTTCCCCCCCTGGGCTCTTGTCTTGTATGGTCTGGTCTTGTCTACACGCACTCTCCCCCATCCACTCACCGGTTCCGACGTGTCGGCGCAGCGTCGTGCGGTTTCTACAATTTGATGACAACACTCTTGCTCTCTGCGGGGACTCACTACTTCAGATCTGGTCCGCGCCACACGACCCCCCCCCACTTATCGACAACAACGATGATTGCTCTGCGCACTCAGCCCACTCACTCAACTGCTGGCCTGCTCTTCTTCTTCTTCTTCTTCAGGGATCTACGCATGAACGAGAAGCCGGTGAAGGAGCTCCCTCAGCCGGACACCCTGTGGACGCTACAGCTCAGCGGATCGCGGCTCCTCACCGGTGGGGACCACTCCGACATGCACCTGTACCCCCCCCAAACACCACCATTTGCGCGTAACCACTCCCGCAGCAGTGCTGCCTCAACCGTTGACGTCGCTCTGTGGGCACACGTGTGCGCACCGTGCCAGGTGGGACATCAACACGGGAACGTGTCGTGTCATCAATGACCCGGCTGCCGATCCAACACCGTACGCCTCCCAAGCCTTCCATCATCACCTCACAATGCCGTCGCGCTTGGCGGTGGTGTGGTTGTCGTTCACGACCTCGTTTCGTCGGCCTTGTGCAGGAGCGTGCAGTCGCTGCAGTTCTCGGCGACGCGCATCGTGAGCGCTTCGCTTGCTGGCCGTATTTCAGTTTGGGGACCGGACTATGGCCAGCCCTGAGCACCGTCGCGATGTGGTCATGGATGCATCGATGATGATGCTGATGATGAAGACTTTCATTTTGTAGAGGTCTTGTGGTGGTGGTTGGTGATTATTCGCCCTTCTCGAGCCGTCGCGGGCCAGAGGAAGCGAACACGTAGAGGCTGTCGGGCAAACCGCGGATGGCGAAGAGGCGGTCATTGTAGGCTCGTTTCCTCTCCTTTCGATCGCACCTGGTGCACGCCATGACACACACTCAGCCATCGCACACGACACACGCACGACACGCACGACACGCATGAAGTTACCGGAAGGGGTTGGTGGAAGGCTCGAGGAGGGTCTCGAAGTCGCAGCAGCCCGTGAGCCACTGCCACTGCTTGTTCTCATCCTGGAGGTCGTGCGAGGTGAAGCAGCCCACGACGCCGTCGTTGAACAGGGCCACGAGGGTGCTCGTCCACGACTCAATGTAGAAGTGGAAGCCACTGGAAGCCACGGCGTGTGTGGTGAGAGACGAGGTTGGGAGGGGGTGTTGATGAAGGATGGAAGGTGTGACAGGCACCTGTGGTACGCCAGGAACATGTGCGGATCCTCGTACTTCTTGTCATCGACGAGATCCTCGCGATAATCGTGGAATCGCCCTTTGTAGAAGGTGATTCGCAGGCGTGGCGTGAGATCCACGCTCGTGTTGTGCCGCTCGGGGCTCACTTGCGGTCCAATCATCACGATATCCAGTCGACGATCCTTCTCTACGAGATTGAGCACCTTCTCCAGGGCATCGCCCCAGAACTCAAGTGCGTTCTCCTCTTCCTCGGGGTTGCCGCCCAAGATGACGACCCGGAAGGGGCTCGATGGTTCGAGATCTTCAAAATCCTTCACCAGCTTCTTGGCCTGCAGCTGCTGGATGAAGAAGGCCAGAGTCAACGGCTTCGTGCGATTCCATTTCCACACGTTGTCCACGCTTTGGAGATCGAGATCGGGATGGAAATCCCGGATGTAGGCGTCCCAATCGACCAGCGATTTCATCTGCCCTGCTTCCATCTTTTGTGTGTCGAGCACTGACGCAAAAAGAACGAAGCCACTTTGACACGATGGTTCGGAAGGGAGAGACAAGAAGAAGAGAGGCAAAGAAGAAGAGGAGGAGGAGACGTCTCGCTCGAGCGCGTTGTTGGTCTCATCACTCGGCGTACTCGGGTCGAAGGTCGAAGAGGTCGGCCACGAACTCCTCGCGTATCTCGCACACGATGCTGTCGGCCTCCAAGCGGTACTCGCGCCACAGCGACACCCCACCAGAACGTCCAGCCTGATGTACCACCATGTGGGCACACCCAGAGATCACAGAAGAAAACGGTCAATCAACGCTGCGACTGGTGATGGTGATGGTGATGATGAAGACGGGCATGATGAGGAATAGCACACACCAGGAGAAGTGTTGTACCTGGAGCAGGACGAAGCTGGGGAGGAGTCGCAAGTGGAAGAAGAGCTGGCCGATGCCGACCTTTTCCTCGAGCACCAGTCGCAGGTGCTCTTCCTTCTTGATCGTCACGGTGCTCTTGGCATTGCAGAACGCCTGCGTGCATGGACCACGCGCGTGTTACGAGGAAATGCCCACAAGCCAAGCGACTCAGCGAGTAGCGAGAAGTGCGATCGCACCTTGCCGAAGCAGGTGAGGTTGACCTCACGCTCGAAGATGCTGGTTTGGCCCACTCGATCGTTCTTGATGATCTCAACCGACACCGGGCTGTTGTAGTACGCGCTGTTGCGGCCCACAAACAAATAAAAAGTTATTTATTTATTTATTTTAGAAGTAGGTAATAAATAGATAAATCAACAACTCCGAGTACCTCATGAGGCGTTGCAGGTTGCCGTTGGCCGAGAGGACGATGCGCTCGAGTCCGGTGAAGCCCGCCGGGAGCACCGTGGTGATTTCTCGAGGCGCCAAGATGTCGCCAAAGTGATTCGGTTTCCTTTCAATCTGCTCACCTCCGAATCCGGTGGTGGCTGGCGAAAAGGGTCCTCCATTGTTCTCCATACGCGGCACCTTGTTCGGCCGTGTCGTGGGCGAGTCCGGCGCTGGTTCCGAAATAAGCAGCCGACTCACGTCCATCCTCCTCTGCTGCGCACGCACACCGTCAACAACACGCGCACCAGCATTACCTCGAAGTCGACACAAATTCTTTCATACACCAGCCACACGCACTGAGCTGACTCTATTCATCCATGAAGCTGCCATCTCGGCTGCCTGCTGGCTCATCTTCTTCCTCATCTTCGTCTTCTTCCTCTTCCTCTCCGTCCCGGACCATGTGTGAGGTATTCGTAGTGGTAGTCGCCTCCTCGCCTACTTCTTCGATTGCTCCACCCTCTTCCTCCTCGGCTTCATCTTCGTCTTCCTCATCTCCGTCTTCTTGCTCCTCGTCCAGGAGGTCGTAGAACAGGAGTCGCTTGGGCGCGGCGTACACTGCGGCCACGTTTCGAGTCCCGCTCACGGCGGCGCCAGCCGCGTTTGGAGGTTGCAGCCTCGACTTGAACTCACTCGGCGTCGAAGACACAAACAACTGCGTGCACGAAGAGGAGAGGAAATCCAATCAGCACCATGCCCGCATACGCGTGTGTCGTGCGTGCGTGCGTGCGTGTGCGGGTGGTGCTAGACGTACCTTGTCAGCGAGCATTCGCTGCACCAGGTTCGTGCGACTGCTGCTGAGCTGGCATCGGTCGGGGATCGGCACGAACGTGACGTCCGTGATCGGAAGCAGCTCCAACACGGTTTCCACCACACCTGTGAAGACACCACACCGCCCACAGCTTACGGTGTGAGCCAAGAAAGAACGAAAGAAGAAGACGTAAGGGAGTGTACTACCCTCGGGCTCGACAAGGGGGTCGATGGAGTGGTCCACGCTGAAGGTGGTGGCGCACGACAGCACGGCCAGCGTGTCCTTGTTGTAGAAGGACAGGTGCATGACTTCGGCGTTGTCGCGCGGGAGGCGCAGGGCGCCCACGCTGTAGTCCTCGTCGACCGTCGTGGCGTTGGCGGCCGCGTCGTAGACGGTGGCGAGCTCCTCGAGGCCCTGTCGTCGGCGGTGCTGCCGCGGGTTGAAGTGGTACCGCTTCCGCAGCAGCCACACGCAGCGCTTCGGCTCCGACGGAGCTGCCGAGGTGTCGTCCAAGAACGAGAACGAGGCATCGCCCCCGCCCAGCGCGTCTTGGAGCGAGGCGGGCATCGGCGCCGACGAATGGAAGGCCGTGAGGTGCAGACACACGCCCGAATCGTTCCGGCTTCCCTCCTTCGCGACGGTCTCGGTGAAGAAGGCGGTCAGCACCTGGTCAGGGATCTCCTCCCCGCCCTCGCCTCCCCCTTCGTCGTCGAGTTCCGCCGGCTGCTGGTGGTTGAAGCCGGCATCGGCCGCCGCAGTCTCTTCGGCTTCGGCTTCGTCCTCATCGTCCTCCTCCCAGTAGTTTCGCTCTCGCTTCTCCTTCTTGGGCTTGGGAGGCTCGGGCGGCGCTGTCGCAGCGCTGCTCGGGGCCGACTTGGCCGCGGCGGCGGCGGCAGTCTCCTTCATCTTGATGGCCAGCAGCGGAATGGCGTTGTCGATGGTGAACGACTTGGCCAGGGTCTGCGAGGGCATGATGAAGGTCTCCTCGTAGATGGCCGCCATGTCGCTGAACATCTGCTTCAGCGAGGGAGCGGACCCGCCGAGGGAGGACCCGGGCGTGCCGTGCGCGTTGGCGTTGATCGACGCCTGCCCGCTGAGGCCGACGACGAACGAGGGCGTGGACCCTCGGGAGCTGTAGCCGCCGCGCGAGGCCGACGAGGGCGTGGAGAGCGCCGATATGGAGGAGAGCTGCATCCGCGCGACGCTGGCCGCGATCGAAGAGGGTGAGAAGCGCGGCAGACCACCCGTGGACGGCGTGCCGGCAAAGGAGGAAGACGACGCGGCCGAGCCCGAGGCCGGCGAGGGCGTCGAGAAGGCAGAGAGCGAGCCCAGCGCGGTCACGGGGTTGACGCCCCTCGGGTGGAGCTGCGACGAGGAGAACGAGTTCTGGCTGGGCCGGGCGGGGGTCGAGGCCACGCCGACGTCGGGGGCGGCGCCCACGCCCGGCAGCTGGAAGGCGGCCGACCGCGGCGACACGTTGGTGAACGGGGAGATGGAGGAGGAGAGCATGAAGGGCGACGACGACGAGTGAGAGGCGATGCGGCGCGCGAAGGAGGGGGTGGCGCTGCCAAAGCCCGACAGGCGGTTGAGCCCGTCGGACTGAGACATGGCCCCAACGCCGCCGGGCGAGGGCAGCAGCATGCTGTTGTCCGCAGTCGGCGTTGCCGTTGCCGTGGCGGCGGCCTGTCCTTCTGGGTTCGCGTCGTCGTCGGTCGCCGCCTCCTTAAAGAACGGCGCGATCAGGTCCTTTCCCAGGTTGTCGTTCAAAAAGTCGGAGACGGCCTTCTCATCGATCGGCACCAGCTCCTTCATCCGCCGCCGAGTCAGCATGTCGGCCAGCCGCAGTGTGCCTGTGCGGTGCGTGCGTGCGTTTGAAGGGGGGTAGTAGAGATCAGGGAAAACAATGATCTTGCCTGGGGAGCTCGATGGGCGAGAAGGTACCGGCAAGCAGCCAGTTGAAAAAGGCCGAGTACTTCCTCTTCATCTCGCTCAGGATCTTGGCCAGCTCCTCGGTGCGGCGGATGAAGAGTGACGCCTTCTGCAGGAGGAACGACAGGGACTCCTCCTCCAGGCCGATGATACCGAATTGCTCGTACCACTTGGCCTGTGCGTGTGCGGTGGCACCAGTCGCTGATGAGTACAACAGTGCAGTAACCCGACATGTTGGAAGCGAGCGGGTGCAAAGCGTGCTGTGTGCACAAGGTTCTTACCCTTCCCTGGAGCTCGCTCAGCCGAAACAGCAGTGTCTCGCTGGCTGGTTTGAGGTGCGTGATGAGCAATTCCTCCAGCCGAGCGCAGCCGGCCTCGATTCCCTTGCCCATTTTCCGCACCCCCTGTCGAGTTTGCAGACCAGTGAGAGTGTGACACCGGTGAGTCACCGGCACTCAACGAGGGCGAAAGAAGAGTGCGCGTCTTCGCCACGTACCGACTCCGTCAACGTGGTGAGCAAGAATCGCTCGAGATCAGCGCTGGGAACACCGGTCACCAGAAAGTAGAGCAGCTCTTGCCGTACTGTCGTGGTGCTGTTGTTCTCTGGTGGTGAGGACTGGCGAGTGAGTCTCATTGCTGCGTGCATGCGTGCGCGCACACATACATGCTTCGGTGGAGGGCGATGAGTACCTTGCAGCATGTTGGAAAAATCGCTGCACCGCGTGTTAAACTCGCCGATGGAGTGGCCCCATTTGTCGCCCATGAGCTGGAGCGTCGTGTCGATGTGGGAAAGGTGCGATGATATGTAGGCCGATTGGACAGCGATCAGCTTGAGTTCCTGCCGCCGGGACCACAGCAGCGACGTGTTGAGGTCGATCAACGCGAGAGTGGGCGACGAGTCCGGGCTCACCGAGGAAGACGAAAACGACGACGGCGTCTTGGCCGGAGGGAGCGGGGAGAGAAACGAGTACTGCGCCGTGCTGTCTTCCCGCACGGTCAGATACTCCCAGTCGAGCGTGCCTTCGATCGCTATGTAGAGATGCTTAAGGTCGGCCGAGAGGTTGACCTTCATCGCTTGTGCCTGGGTATTACCAATCAAAACGTTCCAGTCAGTCGTTGTCGTGTCCAAACAAAATAAAATAGCAATCGATGGAGGGCACTGGCGGCGGCCTACCTGTTGAGAGTTGGCCATGGCCCGAATGTCGGCCATGCCGACGCAAAACGTTCCAAGCGCACTGAACACAAGATCGACCACGCCACATGCAAGCATGAGTGAGCAAGAGACAAGCAGGGAACAGTGTCATCTCGAGAGAATGGAGGGGCACCTCAGAATGACTTTGCCCGTTTCATCACCGGACACGAGGATGTTGAGCTGATTAGGTGGTGGCATCCGCGCCGCGGCATTGGTGGTCGTTGCCATATCCACGGCCCTGGAGCACCGCATAGAGAGAGAGAGAGAGTCAGCAAGAGGGCGACACTGCAACTGTGATGGGGAGCACATGCCCGTCCGATGGCTGACCCGGTGGAAGTGGCAGCGGTGGAAGGAAGCGGTCTGTTCGGTCAACCAAGTAGTGGATGTGCGCATGCTGCAGGGCTCCGACGGCCGGTGCGCCGACGGCCGTCTCCTGTGCCCAGTGAAGGCAGGTGACTGACGCAGAGTGGAACTGGGAGGAGAAGTACGAGGTGCCGTTCTCCACATCGACCAACGATATCTTGCCGTCTTGGTGGCCCACCGCGATGATCTTGCCTGTGGTGAGAAGAACGAGCGCTTGAAGATGAGTAAAAACTGCGGCATGGTGCGGAACAAGGGAGCAGGAGGGAAAGAGCACCATCAGGGCGCCAGGTGAGGGCGGTGGTGGGTTGGTCGTGGGTGCGGATGCTGAACAGGCGCTGCCACGACAGGCGCTGAACGATGAGCTGGTCGTCTGCAGTGATCCAGGCCAGCAAATCCATGGTGGGACACCACTCGAAAAGCTTAATCTCCTCTGCTACCGGCTTGTCAATGAGATTTTTGAAGCATTGTGTGCCGTGCACGCCTTCTCCCTCGGTTCCTTCCGTTCCCTCCTGGTTCATGTCTTCGTCCGGATTGCCCTCATCTACGCTGCTCTCGGCAATTTCATTGATCTCAGTCTGTTCCCCATGTTCCTTGAGAACCGAGTGATCGAGACCCAGACCATCTCCACCCAGCTCTTCCATTGTACAATTTTGATTTTGATTAATTTGCACTAAAAGAGCGCCAAAGTGTCGGATTCTTGGCATTCTTCGGTTAACCTTTTCCCGCGCGTTTTTCAGAGCAGAGGCTGTTGTCTTCGTTTCCTCGCCCCCTGATCGCACGCATCGCCTCCTCGAGCAAGATGAGCAGCGTAAACATCACCAACGTGCAGGTGTTGGACAACCCTGCTAAGTGGCCCGCTCCGCTCCAGTTTGAAATTACCTTTGAGTGCCTCACCCCGCTGCAAGAAGGTGCGCTTGCAACCCAAAAAATTCATGATCGCTGCCATTTTGATGGCTGCCCTGTACTTACGCTGCGCATAGACCTCGAGTGGAAGGTGATCTACGTCGGATCGGCGGAAAATGTGCAACATGACCAAGAGCTCGAGTCCGTAATGGTCGGCCCTGTGCCTGTAGGCGTGAACAAGTTTGTGCTGCAGGTACCCTCCACCCCCCCCCTCTCTTGCGTGCAAATCCTCACTCGCCCATGCATATTTTCTCCACCAGACCGAACCCCCAGATCACACCAAGATCCCTCAGTCGGACCTGCTGGGCGTGACTGTGGTCCTGCTGAAGTGCTACTACCGGAGCAGCGAGTTCCTGCGCGTCGGGTTCTACGTCAACAATGAGTACGATAACCCAGAGATGCAGGAGAACCCGCCCATGCCGCACGACGTGGCGAGGATCAACCGCAACATCCTCGCCGCCAAGCCCCGCATCACCACTTTCAACAACCGCTGGGACAACACCACGCCCGAGATCGAGGAGGTGAGCATCATTGACGCAGAAATGCATGAAGGTGAAGGGGAGCTCCTCCCCGAAGAGGAGGAAGAGGGGGAGGAAGAGGAAGAAGAGGATGGCGAGGAGGATGAGGAGGAGGAAGAGGAAGATGAAGATGAAGATGGGGAAGATGGCAAGGAGGGAGAAGGAGGCGAAGAGGATATCAAGGACGAGAACGACGTCATCGAGATGGACCCTCAACCCTAGTTCAAGCGCGATGAAGTGGATTCGTTGCGTGATGCCAACAAAGGAGGACCATGTCCGTGCGCTGTATCTGTACAAAGCGAAACTCATGGTCGTCTGCTTCTTCTTTCTTTGCGGGTGCTCTACTACATGAGGGCCACCTTGTCGCCCTCCTTTGCGATGAGATTGCGAACAGAGCGGTAGGGGAGGTAGTACAGCGAGTCCTTCGTCAGTTCGATCGCTATGCCGTCGAGGTCTTGCGTGCCCACGTTCTCGACGGCCTTCAAGAAGACGTTCGTGTTCAGCTTGGGCATGCCTGTAGATGAGATGGCCAGCACGCCAATGTTAAGACTCCACAACGCCGAGGAGCAAGAGAGCAAGAGAAGTGAAGTGCAAAGTGCCTGCTTTGGGCGTGCCGCTGTTGCCGATGCGCTCAGCGATCTTGGGCGAGATGAGGTCGAGAGCTCGACTCTGCTCGAGCTCCAATTCTCTGAACCTGTGCATGTGCGGTGGTGCGTGTGCGCGGTTATGCTTTGCGACCACCAGAGAGAGAGAGAGAGAGGCCAAGGCGATGGGCAGGTACTGCTTCAGGAACTGGAGCTCATTGTCGGACAGCTTGTGCGTCTCCAGCGGCGAGTGGAGGATGTACTCGGCGTGCTTCTGAATCTGCAAGAACACAATGTATGTAAGGGACCCATCAGCTTGCGTGAGCGGGCCTGAAGAGGTCACCTCTTCAGGCACGCGGGGGTGAAGGAACCTTTCGCAGCCGCGTCTGAAGGTAGGCAGACAGCGCGTACTTGACGCGTTGCAGGTACCACGAGGTGAGCAGTTGTCGTCGGAGGAAGGCATCCTCACTCTCGCCCTTGTATGATTGATTCGATTTCTCCTCCTTTACAGAAAGAGATCTAAGATTTAATTGCAGGAGAGGAAGAAAAGCAGGACGATTGAAGTGGGCACATACCTCTGCATCGACAAAATCTTTCGTTTTAGATATAAGTTCAGTCTGGAAGGGGAGGACCTCCGGGGCGATTAATTCGTTCATCACCGCCATGCGCAGGAGGCCATCGTCTCCATCACCGCCAAAGGATTTGGACCCAGCATCTGCCACGCTTGCTTCCATCTTGGCCAATCGATTCGTTTTTGGTTGTGTTTTTTCTCCGTGTTGAGCTTTCCCGCCAAAATTTGTCCCCTTCACCAAGCTGGTGTTTATTTTTCAGTTTTCAAGGCCGCCGCCTTCTTGAGCAGCTGCTGCACCATGTCTCGAGTCTGTGCGGGCGAGAGGAACTCGCAGTTGAGGATGGCGTTGGCGATGAGCATGGTCTGCACGCTGGAGTTGGAGTGCACCCACACGCGACCGTTCTGACCGACGGCAATTTCGAACGGCATCGACTTGCCGATCTCCTGCAGCACGACGCAGTCCGGCGACAGCAACCTGGCACGCAGCAAGAGAGCGCGCAAAGTTAGTGGTCAGTCAATGTGGTCTTTGGGTCCAACGTAGATCAAAGGTTTACACGTACTGTCGCGCAAGGCTAAGTGAGCACTTCACCATGTAACCGCCCGCGAGAATGCCGAATCCCTCGGCCTTGCCCGTCGCCGCCGTGCACACCAGCTCGGGCTCCATGTCCTTGTTCGCCACCACGACTCTCGCATACACGACCGTTCCCACCTGCAGTCGCCGGCGGAGTGCATTCAGCATTCCTGGTCGGCGAGAGAGCAGCATTCCTTCGCACACGCCCGGGGCTCAACAGGCCTGGCTGAGGCAAGAGCGTACCTGAAGGTTGGGCCTGTTCTTGCGGGTGGCTCCTTCAAACGCGAGCATGGGAAGGACGGCCGGCACAGCGCTGCCCAGATCCACCTTGGCGTTTTCTACGTGCTTTTCAAGCACCACACCCAGCACCATGTCCTCCATCACGGGCACATACTGCGTAGCAGATTATTAAGAACGAGGACACTGATTACAAGTTTGTAATCTTGGGGAGGGGTTCGTACTCGCTTTTGACGATTATCCACCCACACGTGATTTCCCTTGCTTCGCAAAATTCCGCACTTGGTGGCGATAAGATTCTCCTGATTTTGGATCACACCGATGCCAATCTTTGTCGTCTTTGCAGGATCTACCTTGCCGATGACCTCACCGGGCATTACGACCTGGCCCGCCTTCTCCATCTTTTCTTGTGATCAAAAAACAAAATACGAAACACAACCGGTTTTAATTTCTTTCATTTCCATGATGTTTTCTTTTGTCTACATTTTTGTTGACGCCAGCACACGCTTTGCTGCGGGTTGGCCTCATCGACAGACCAAGACGAAAAACAAACACACACCATCATCCGCCAAGAAAGAACCAATTGAATTGATAGAACATGCAGAATCTGCAGCAGATGCTTCGCCAAATGCAGGGGGGTATGGGCCAGGGCATGCCGCCTCCTGATTCCCCCGTTGTGGACACTGCCGAGCAGGTCTACATTTCCTCGCTCGCTTTGCTCAAGATGCTGAAGCACGGTAACTACCTCCCATTAGATCTCAACACTCGATCGTTCGCTCTTCACTCATGATCGATGCGCTTTCCCCACAGGTCGCGCTGGCGTACCGATGGAGGTCATGGGCCTGATGCTGGGCGAGTTCGTTGATGATTACACTGTTCGCTGTAAAGATGTCTTCGCCATGCCTCAGAGTGGAACGGGTGTCAGTGTAGAAGCCGTCGATCCCGTGTTCCAGACCAAGATGTTGGACATGCTGAAACAAACCGGCAGGTACACTTACCACGCTCCTTACCCCCCCCCGCATAAGCTCATGGCTCGTTTGTGCAGACCCGAGATGGTGGTGGGCTGGTACCACTCTCACCCCGGTTTCGGCTGCTGGCTTTCAGGCGTCGACGTCAACACACAGCAGGTTCGCCCTCTTTCTTCCACCGATGCCGCTGTGGTGTGGCGCTTTGCTGACTCGCGAGTTCCGTGCAGAGTTTCGAGGCTATCAACGAGCGTTGCGTTGCCGTTGTGGTGGACCCGATTCAAAGTGTGAAGGGTAAGGTCGTGATCGACGCCTTCCGCTGCATCAACCCGCAGACTCTGCTCATGGGCCAGGAGCCAAGGCAGACCACCTCCAACATCGGACACCTCAACAAGCCCTCTATTCAGGTACCCCACCCACCCTCTTCTCTCCCCGCCAATGTCTCGCGGTTCAGGTTTCTGACTCGGAGCCTCTCTGTGTGAACAGGCCCTTATCCACGGTCTGAACAGGCACTACTACTCGATCGCGATCAACTACAGGAAGGACGAACTGGAGCAGAAGATGTTGCTCAACGTGCACAAGCCCAAGTGGACCGACGGCCTGCTCCTGGAGGAGTGGGAGGAGCACAGCAAGCAGAACGAGGCCATCGTCAAGGAGATGCTCGACCTGGCCAAGGCCTACAACAAGTCGATCCAGGACGAGATCAACATCCCTCCAGAGAAGCTGGCCATCCAGAACGTCGGCAAGGTCGACCCCAAGAAGCACCTCGAGTCCGACGTCGAGAAGCTCATGGCCAAGAACGCCACCCAGCTCCTCGGCGCCATGCTCGACACCGTCGTCTTCTAAGCCGCTCGCTGGCTCCTCCGTACGTGTGCCGCTTCGTGACCTCTCTCCCCCCGCGTTCCTCTCTCTGTCATAAGTAAATAGGCTTTCTCCTCCGCCTCCGTTCGTGCTCGTCATCTCTGCGCTGAAGAGGCTTTAGTGGTCGTCCCATCGCGGCTTCTGCCTGTTCTGCTTCACGTCGCTCCTCTTCTTCTTCTCCTTGAGGCGGTGTTCGATCGCGTAGTCGGGCACCTCGGTGGCGATCCGCTCCTTGGGCACCAGGCACGCCTCGTCCAGGTATCGCTTCAGCTTGCGGAAGGCCTCGTTGAGGTTGTGCCCCTGCGTGCGGTGCACCGACGAAGTGATCACCATCTCGCCCTCCTTGTTGAGGTCGCCCGCTCTACACCGCGACACCAACGTACGTTTGTCAGCATGTGGTGACGACGTCGAAGAGAAGGAAGAGAACTACCGTTGTTCGCGCAATCGGTCCTTCACGTCCTCTGGTATCCAGTCCGCTTCGTTCAGGTTGAAGCGCAGCTCCACCTGTGCAAGCAGAGTGGGTGAGACACGAAGAATGAAGAAGAGGACGGTGCTCTGTCTACCTTGGTGTTCACTTTGTTGACGTTCTGGCCACCGGGTCCGCTCGACCGGCTGAAGGCGAGCTGAATCTTGTCGCGAGGTATGTTGATGCTTGCCAGGGAGTCGCCATCGTCGCCGAGCGTGGAGTACAGGCAGCGCCCACCCCAATCCCTACGGGCAAGGTGCAAGAGATTGGGAATTGCTGATGCACAACTGCTGCCGCGGGACTGCAAAGCAGATGCGCAACCCCAGACCAACAGTGGCCGGCAGGGTGTAGAAGGAGAGGTCGACAGAGGTGCCCAACAGGCTCGCACGTTACGCATCAGACTAAGATTAATAAAATAAAATAAAATAAAATAAATGAATAATAAAATGCATTTCGCTTTTTCTTTATCTTTTCATTAAAGCAAAAGATGGAGCAGGAAGAAGGCCAGCGGCCGGACGGCAAGCTGCCGTCTGAAGAGCCCGTGGCAAAGAGGCAGCGTTTGGAGGAGGTGACATATGTGGAAGAGGCGACAAGCATTGAGTACCAAATCACAAGAACGGAGACCCATGTAAATCAGGAGGCGGTGTACGCGGCGTATGAGTTTGGGGTGGTGGCGTCAGAGCCAGAGCCAGAGCAGACACCATACACCAGCGAAGAGGCGGTGGCACATGAAGAGACCAGCGAAGTCCTGCTTCCGGCCCTTCCGCCCGCACACCCTTGGCACATAGGCGCGCAGGAGAGCTACTTCCGGCAGCTTTACGTGGCCGACGAGTTCGAGCACCACCGCAACAACTTCCTCAAGCTAGCTCTGTGGTAGCGCTCTCTCTCTCTCCTCTTTCTTCTTCTTCTTCTCGATTGGTGACTGATCCGTCTGTGCGTGCCCAGGTCTGCCGACGGAACGTGCATGCTAACGACAAGCGAGGACAACCTTGTTCGCATCTTTGAAGTGTACGTCCGCTTCATCCACGCTGAAGTGCGGTTGAATCAACCCTAACCGGTACACTATGGGTACAGACCGGCTGACGCAGCCGAGCAGGCCTACAAACTGCAAGAGATGACCGAAGAGGAGCAGCTCTCGTTCGTGCCGCACCCGTTGCGTTCGGTGCTGCAGATCAAAGAGGGCGAGACCGTGTACGATGCGTGTTGGTATCCGCACATGAACTCTCAACGTACGTTGCCTTCGCCCGCTAACCACCGACAGCCAACCCGTTCTGCTTCTGCTTCTTTTTCTGCAACCCAAAGCTGCACCACACCAGCAGCCAAGTCCTGACCAGCCGTCTCTCACTGCAGAGCCCAGCACGTGTTGCTTCTTGACCACCAGCCGAGATCATCCCATCCACATGTGGGACGCGTTCACCGGGCAGGTGCGTTTCAGGGCAACTAGCTGACATCTTTGTTAAGCCGCGTCTTGTCGTCCCGCATTTGCTCATCCGTGCAGCGCAGCACAGGGCAACCTATCGAGCATATGATCACATGGACGAAATCACCGCCGCCCTTTCCATCACGTTCAACCTGACCGCCGACAAGTACGCGCCCTGCATCTCTTCGCTGGCCAACACTCTCTCGACATGCCAGCGCTGACTGATCCTTGCCCCCAACATGTCAGGATATATGCCGGCTACAGTGGCATGATCCGAATATTCGACACCGCATCACCGGGGCGAAGCTACCGCACACTCAGCACCAAGGACATCGGCGCAAAAGGTACTCTCTCTCCCCCCTCTCTTTGTGTGTGTGTCCTTTCTAGGCCTCCTAGCGCGCGACTCAAACCCTCTTCGAAAACTCCTACCTATCTACCAGGCATTGTGTCGTGTCTGGCGTTCAATCCGGACTACAGTGGTCTGGTGGCCGCGGGGTCCTATTCGGGTTTGGTCGGACTCTACACTGAAGGCGACCGCGGCGTGGTATCGGTGCTCGAGGGGCATCGGGGCGGTGTGACGCAGGTGCGTGTCTTTTGCTAACAAGTTCGTTCAGTTGTTGTTCACCGAGCGGAGCTGCGCTGACCTGTCGACCGCACGTGTCTGCAGGCGCTGTTCACGCCAGACGGCAACTATCTCTTCACGGGAGCGAGGAAGGAGAACGACATTCTCTGTTGGGACATCAGAAACACGAGCCGCGTGGTGATGCGGCTCTCGCGCCTGGTCGACACCAACCAGCACATCCGCTTCGACATCGATCCCACCGGCAAGTACCTCATCACCGCCAGTCAGGTACAAACGACCACGCCGCCTTCCTCGTTCTCAATGGAGTGTCCTCTCACAAACGTGACCGCGGTGGCCCAACACGCGTGCAGGACTCTCGGGCCTACGTGTACGACCTCCAGACAGGCGGCGTCGTACAGGAGCTGCTCGGGCACACTGGTGCGAACCACCTCTTCCTCTCTCTTCCACTCACGCTTGGCTGTCGCTGAACACCGTCTTGTCTTCAGATGTGGTCAACTCGGCCGCGTTCCACCCGTTCGCACCGCTGGTGGCAACGGCCACGGGCGACAGGAAGTACGCCGTGCAGATGAAGAACTTCGACGACGACGCTAGCGACGAACCGAAGGAGGGGGAAGAGGCAAGGGCGACGGGCGCCGCGGGCGACCAGACAGCAGCCACAGAGAAGGGCAAGGAGAAGGAGGAAGAGGAGGAGGAGGAGCCGGAAGAGGCAGAAGAGGAAAGCGAACAACAACGGCGGCCACACCAGCAAAACGTGCTCGCGCTTTGGTCTCAGCTGGCGCGTCGGCAAACGCCGGGAGAGCTCTAAAGCTCTAAAGCGCGGCGGTTGTGGCTTCACACGGCCTTGTGTGTCCGGTGCGACCACCAAGAGACTTTTCACACGGCAACCGATCGTGTGCTGGAGTCACACCAAGCTTGTAATCACCTCCACGCCCAAGTTTGTTCGTATCTTGCAACGCTCCCTGCGCAACCTGCGAGCAACCTCCCACTCGCTCGCTCTGGCACCACCGCCACACTGCATACCTGGAGCCCTTCATACCACAATAACGCCTTTGCTGCTCGCGCTGCAACCAACAACGCAACAACACTGGCTGTGCTCGAGCCCTTCTTCTTCTCGCACACTGTCAAGCGGAGCCGTACGTGAAATTCGGACCACTTTGACCCAAGACCGACCAGTACGGGTGCGCGGGCGACTCGATGGGAAGGAAGCAACAAGCGGTGACCTAGCAATCAGCCCGCCTTCCTCGGGAATCCCTGCGACACTGGTGGTTTGCCACGCTTGTTCCAGGTACCGCCGCGGAGCACTCCCGGTGCCCATTGGCCCGCGCGCAATCAAGCCCAGCAGCGGCGCCAGCAACACCCAAATGACGTTTGAGCAAGCACCGCACCTCACGTAGGGCTGTGGCTGGCCTCATAAAAATCTTGTGCGGCGCTTCGGGCGTTCCATTCTTCTCTTTGCACCGAACACCAACAACATCATCAGGCCACAGGTCTCCTCGTAGGCCACTAATTACACGCCTCCTGCACACCAACAGCACGAGTCGAGTCGAGTCGAGCAGCAGCAGCTCCTTTCATCTTCTTCTTCTTCTGCAGCAGCAGCATCAACACCGCAGAGCAACTCCGCACAACAGAGCAAGGCCAGGAGCATGACAACAAGACAGAGACAGACGCGTTCGCACACGCGCACCAATCGTTCGATGCGATTCAACCAGCTCGTGGAGCTGACCTCCGCCCTCTCCGAAGCCGATAAGGACACCAAGTACGTGCCCTCTCTCCTCCCCGCAGCATCTTTCATCTTCATCTCTCTTCTTTATTGCTCGATGCACCCACGCATCTGCACAACGATGACATGCATGCCCATGCATCGAGCATCATGCCCATCATCTCCTCCTACGCGATTTTTCATTTGAAATCGAAATCTCGAGCATTCACCAATCTTTTCGCGGACTTCTCTCCGCCACCACGTAGCAACGGGCCTTTCCCACTCTTTTCCCTCCTTTCCCGCTGCGACTTCCTCTCCTCTTTCTCTTCCACGGTGTGCTCGTGCTTTCCACCGGCTAATATTTTTTAATCACTCCTGCTCCGCCATTGGCAGGGAAAAAGTAGAAACCGCGGAGATTCTGTCGCTACTCGGGTTCGCGGGCGGAAGCCGCAAGAACGAGTCCACCGCCGCCACCCAGACCACACAGCAGCCGACTGGTCGGCCGGCGGCTGCCGCCATCACGCGCTCGATTCCGCAGCAGCAGCAGCTGCCCCTGCCCTCGATCCAGCACATCGCGGTTCAGCCGCAGGTCGTGGCTCAACAGCCGAGGCAGCAACAGCAGGCCATCCGCCCGGCCGTGGCGAAGCTTCCGATCAAGCCCGTCGCCGTGCCCGTGCTCCCCGCTGCGGCCACTGCCACCAAGAGCGCGGCGACCACCACCGCCACCAGAGCCGGCGCGAGGTCCGCCACGCATGGCGTCGAAGGCGAGAGGAAGCGGAAGAGGTCGAAGACCACGCCCGAGCAGCTCCGCATCCTAATGGACGAGTTCCAGCGCGAGCCGATGCCCAACGCCACCACACGCCAGACGCTGGCCGCGCGGCTCGACATGACCCCGCGCAGCGTGCAGATCTGGTTCCAGAACATGCGGGCCAAGGTCAAGAAGGCCAACAGCGGCTCGGCGCCCGGCGACGAGAAGAAGAGCAGCAGCGGCAGCACCACCAGCCCTTCGCTGGCCGACACCGAGTCCGACGGCCCTGCGAAGAAGCGACAGAGGACCGTCACCGGCGAGGAGGACAACAGCAGCGATAAGATGACCATCGAGCAGCAGCCCCAGAGCCGGCGAAACAGCGTCACTGGTCCCTCGCCTTCGTCGACGCCGGTGGCGATCCCCGCGCCTCAGTCGAGCGCTGCGCTCAATGCCAAGACCGCGCAGCAGCAGCAACCCATCAAGATCGCCGTGAGCCCGCAGACTTCGGCCTTCGCGCCGGCCAACGCAGCCTCGCTGGCCAAGCCCCGATCGGCCGAGACCACCACCGGCAAGCTCCCGCTGCCGGTCATCCAGCACCATCCGCACCTCGGCCAGCCTATCTTCGGTGTGCCCCTGCAGTACATCCCGCAGTCGTACCACTGCGACCAGCTCAAGCGGGCCACCATGGCCGCCCTCTCCGGTTCGGTCCAGCATCAGATGACCGCCTGAGCGCAGGCCGCCGACCTTCACCGCCCACCATCGTCACCGATCGATGACCGCTGCACCTGCGGCGGGTGTACATAAGTTTTGTGACCTGTATAGTCTTGTACCTGTAACCCCTCTATTCTCTCCTTCTCTATTCTCTTTCCATCTATCTCTGAGAGAACTACAACCTTTACGATGAAGAGTCATTATAAATCCGATTGCCATTTTGCCCCACTCGCCCACCTTCACAACGCGCCCTGTGTTTGAATGTTCAACTCAACTTGGTTGCTCTCTTCCTTTGGGCAAGGAGGGCAGGGAGAAGAGCAAGAGAGGCGAGCAGGACCAGCTTGACAGCAGTCCAGGGAGTGAGCACATCGTGCAATGATGTGATCTCCTGCAGCATCTGCCCAGCCTCCACCATCACAAAGTTGAGAGGCAGGGTTCCTGGTGGGGTTGATGATGGGTGAGTTGATGCACGATGATAGTGTGAAGGAAGAACAGGGCGCACCAATTAGGATAGAAAAGAAGAACGGCCAGAAGGGTATGCCAATGATGGGTGCTGCCATGTTCAAGAACCTATTGATAAACAGTGGTGTGAGTGTGGCTTTGTAAGGGCGAGAGTGAGAGTAGTACTGCACCAATGTGGGGTCAGTGGAACGGTCCTGATGAACAGCAAGTAATAGAAGAGGTTGCTCTCGTGTTTTGCAATCTGCAAGAAGGATGTGAGATCAACACAGTATAACATGGACAATCACGAAGCGCACCTTCTGTTGCAGCTTGGTGAGCCTCTCTGGGAATAGGTAAGCAACAGGGCCTCGCCCCAGGGCGTAGGCGCCCATATAGCAGACGGATGAGCCAACTGACCGGGCCTAACACAGACGGTGAGTGGTCTGCAGGGACCATACATACATGACAGCACGTACTATTGCAGCAGCGGCCAAGCCAACAGGGAGCCCAAACAGAGCGCCCAGCATGATGTTGAACAGTGGTAGTCCTGGCAGGCTGTAGGCCTCCTTGCTACGCGCTTTGGTGAGAACACAGGCTCCGACGTGCAGAGTGGAGTACATACACAATGAAGAGCACCACCACCGTGCTCAGTAGTTGCAACGGCTGCTGCTGCTTGAGTGCTTCTAAGGATCCATGAAGCTCGCGCACGTCTTCAAGGGACGTAGGCACGAACCACCCACCCTGCGCACGTCCCGTTTATCAAAAATACGCGTTTGGCAACTTCACAGCGCTGGAGGTAAGCGCACCGTGGGCAAGAGTGCAGCTGCACACGAAACCAACCAAGCCGCCACCGCCAACAGACCGCACGTGAGCAGGAGGAACTGCAGCCGAAGCGTACCGCCGGTGTGGGACATGCACAGACCCAGCAAACAAAAAATGAAAGAGAAATAAAAGGAAACATGTTTTTTTTTGTTTTTTTTGTAGTGTCGCGGCGTCAGATTTCGTCGTGGTGCTGCTTTGTCAAGGCTGTGTTGTATTCGCCGGTCGCCGATCGTTCGCGTGCTGCATCTCGCACGACGTCGTAGATGAATTGATACTGCTCCGCGGTCTGCACCATGCCAGCCCGGCTCTGGCGAAGCAGAGCCACAGTGCGTGGAATGTCGACCACAACCGACTGATCGGATCCGGAATGCTGCAGCTCCATCTTCTCCAGGTTGATGTGGATGGCGATGAAGGTGCCCGCCCGCCCGACCCCGGCCGAGCAGTGGACCACGATCGGCCCATCGAGGCCCGCCCGTCGGCCTGCCTCCTTGTGGGCATTGACCAGCTCCGCCAGCTCGCGAATGGTCTGTGTAGACCCGGGCGTGCCGAAGTCGGGCCATTCGGTGTAGTGCAGCTGCACGATCTGCCGGGTCTGCCCGGCGTGGCGGACCTCGAAGACGCGCTGGGTGAGGTGCGAGCTGATGGCCTCGCTCCGCAGGTGGGTGACGCCGAATGGCCCGAATTGTCGGCGCTCGCCCACGCCCTCGGGCCAGTAGGCCGAGGCCTTGAGCTGGTTACGCTCGGTGAGGCGCGTGAGCATGACAATGACCGCGCTCTCGCTTTCCTGATGATGCGTCCGCTGTGAGCAAGAGTTCTAGAAACCAGCGAAAATAGGGAAGAAGGCGAACCCAGATCATCAGCCAGAAGTGGCTTAGGGTCGCTGGGAGCGGTGCCTGGCAGGCAATGTAGGCTTGATGCGACCCTGGGACCTCGCCGTCGATGTAATTGGCGTTGATGTAGTCGCTGTCATCGATGAGAAGCTCGCGGTGCGCCTTGAGCTTGACCCTGGTGGCCTCGAGGGCGAGTATGTCGGCGTAGCGGTTCTTGCGGTGGTTGTTGCCAGCCGTGGCCGTGGCAAACAGCTGTTGGGCATCCTGCCCCATGAGTTCGGCCCGGTGGTGGCTGTTGAGCTTTTCGAATTCATCGTGCAGCAACGGCCGGGTCTCTGCGCCCCTATGAAAGGGAGGACACAGCGAATGTGACAAGAGTGCCCGGGAGGGGGTAAAAGGGGGAAGGGTAGTACCTGACCTGCGCCCAGAAGAGCAGGAGTACCATTGCCAATGGTACGCCAACCCGGCAACACCGCAGCAGACCTTCCCTAGCGCGGCTCATTCTTGTTGTGGTCCTCTACGCAAGTAAAAACCGATCCGATAGGCCTTTGACGTGGCAACTAATGACGTCACACATTTTATTTTCTTTGTTTCCTTCAACCCTTCCTGGCCCACATGTTGGCCGGTGGAGGACCATCACAGCTCATTGCGATCCGCT